AGCCCAATTTTTCATGGTCAAACAACAATCCAACTGGAGTCCGAAACATCCCACCTTCCGGTGTCTAGCAGCAACAACCTCAACCAAAGAAGAAGCCCCCAGTTAGAGGAGTTAATTTTGGCTCACATGCAGAAAACCGACAATAATATGAAGGGTCTAGATCAGTTTGTCACTAAACAACTAGCCATCAACAATAATTTACAATCATCTATGCTAGCTATGGAGAGGCAGATGGGACAGATGGCTCAAACTTTGGGAGATATGCAAGGTAGGATTCCGGAGACTTTACAAACAAATACTGAGAGGAATCCGAAAGACGCCATAGTTGTAGCTGTCACATTGAGGAATGGGAAGGAGTTGGATGGTCCAAAGAGTTTAAGGAAGTAAAAAAAATCAGAAAAAGGAGTTGCAAAGGTAGAGGATGAAGAAAGTGCAAAAGCTGAAAAATCTGACTTGCACAGGCAAATTGCATGCAATCGGCCTGTGCATGAGCATTCTGCCTTTACACCTCCAATGGTGGAAAAATTCAAGAATGAAAAGGTAAACCCTTATGAATCTCCCGCACTATTCCCTCATAGGTTAATGAAGCCCATGGAAGATCCAAACTTCAAAAAATTTGTGAATCTCTTCAAGAAACTTCAGATCAACATACCATTGGAGGAGGCACTTGAACAGATGCCTACATATGCTAAATTTTTAAAGGAGTTGCTGACAAAGAAGCGCAAATGGGATGATATAGAGAAGGTAACCTTTACTTCTTAATGTAGTGATGTGATTTAGAATAAATTACCAGAAAAGAGGGACTATCCGGGAAGTTACACCATTCCATGTGTCATTGGAGGTACAGAGTTCAACAAATCACTTTGTGATCTTGGAGAAGGAATAAATTTGATGCCATACTCAATCTACAAGAAATTGGGATTGGGAGATATTCTTAAGCCTACTCGATCACTCTCCAATTGGCCGATCGATCAGTGAAAATTCCAAAAGGAGTGGTAGAAAATGTATTGGTGAAGGTGTGGAAGTTTATTCTTCCAACAGATTTTGTCATTCTGGAGATGGATGAAGAACGGGGAGTACCTCTCATTCTTGGTAGACCTTTTCTAGCAACTGGATATGCACTCATCGATGTTGGGAGAGGCAAACTGACATTTAGAGTAGGTAAGGAAGAGGAAACTTTTAATGTCTTTAAAGTTGAACATAATCACGATGCATTTGATGACTTTGAAAGTGGAGCTCGAGAAAGGAAAAATTCCTCTTCCTGTGATAGTGGACCAGCCGAAGAACTATCACATATCCTATCTGCTCAGATTTTGAAATCAAAGGAAGGACAAAAATCCTTGCCATGTCATCTCAAGTATCGATATTTGGGTAAGGATTTCAATCTTCCTGTTATTATTCCTTCTTCACTAACATCGAAACAGGAAGAGTACTTGCTTGAGGCGCTGGAATACCACCTACGCCTCACTAAAGGATCGAACATGCCAACATAAGAAGGTCATACTAAACACCTGGCCCTGCAGAGGTATTCTGGATACGTTTCCATACCCATTGGTTGAAAGCTCCATGAACGTCAGGCGGAGGACGTTAAAGAAGCGCTTCTTGGGAGACAACCCCAGGTGAGTTTTCTTTTCTTTATTTTTCTTTTTAGTTGTGTCAAACCCGTGCGTGTTTATATTAGAAGTTGAACATTAGGGACAATGTTCCATCCTGAGTGTGGGGTGGTGAGTCTTAGTGTTGTTTGTCCCTGTTGCATGTGGTAAATAATATTTCCAAAAACAAGAAAACAAAAAAAACTATCATTTGGGTTGTGCACAGCCAAACTGCATGCAATGTACCTGTGCTGGTGCAGTCTGCTTGTGCTAACCTAATGGCTAAAAAACACCTAAAAATTAAAAACAAAACCTTGTACTCTAGTGGTAACATGATGTAAATGACCGTGATGCGTGTAGAATGAGTTCGTGCTTGAATGAAATCATCAATGAGCTTGATAGTTTGATTAGCTTGGGAGGATAGTGTAATGACTTTTGGCGAAGTAGTTAGGTGGAGAATATTGACCTTTCGACATGTTTGGATACCGTGCTTACTTACACTTGTTGTGAGCTTTTGACTTTGCAATGAGTCTCTCTGTTTTAAGAGGTTTTATGATGGGGTGAACTGTATATTCATAAAAGAAAAAAATCCTACCTGACAAGTAAAATATAAGAAAGTTGCCATAACAATCTAAGTGGGGTAAAATACCAAAATAGTGTGAGGCAATCACTCATTGCACAGGGGGATTAGGAAAGATTCAACTGAGCATCAGTTCGCGATCGTACGATGTTGCTTATCAAGTACGATCCCCCGCCGAGTGAAGTGCCGTTTGAGAAGCTGCATTAACTCTCCACACGGACCGAGGAAAAGGATTTGAAAGAAGCCCTTATGCGAGTGCTAAGAAGAGAAATTGCTCTTGATTGGTTACCAGTAGTAAGAAACAAATCCCAATTGCACTAAATAAGACCACTCGGCAAGCAAAATCATAAAGAGAGAAAGCCTCTCCTTGTCAGAAAAGGTAGTGATGTGCGAAAATTTAAAACGTAGTTTGTTAAAAGCTTCCCCCATTTGTTTTTAAGACTCATGCTTAGTTAATTGCTTATGATTGATGTGAGTAAGCCAGATTGTCCTCACGAGATATGTACCTCATTGATGTGGTTAGATTCTCCAAATAATTGTTGCACCACAAGTTGTTGATCAACCACTACCGACGACCAGATTTGAGTGTTGCTAATTGAGGTTTTTATAGATTTTAGTCAGTCAATGATAAAAGGTCTGCAAAACCTTGAGTGTGGGATTAATGGTATGATCATTAAAGCACAACTCATCCATTGAGAAAGAAACTACTGGTTACAACAAGAGTACAAGGGTAAGTTTCTGGTGTTGATGATGTGTTCCGTGTGCCGTGGATCTTATGCCTTGAGCAGGGCTGTGTCTTCGTGATCTAGATTGTGTTTCCTCAAATCATCACTCTGGCTGTAGAGATATGGATTAAACTGATTGGAATATGTGAATTAATTTGGATATGATAGGTAGCGAGTCCCAGTGTTTCTCCCAGAGCTTTCTCCATTGAATTTCTCCCGACAGTTTTCATTACTTAATTTGTTTATTTAATTTTTATTTTAGAAATTAGTTTATCTCTCAAACCATTTTCACTTGTAGTTTGCTCTATAAAATTGGTATGATATAAGGTTGTACCAGTCCCTGAGAGACGATACCCGGACTTTTCGGTTTACTACGAGATAGAAATTGAAGCATTATGCTTTTTCTCTATCATCTTCCTATAATTATTCCATGATGAAACCAATTTTGCAATAACTCCCCCCACCAAAAACGGTTTGGAAAGAGTTATATTTAACCTAGTGAACTTAGAGGCTAAGATAAAGAATTCACTCATTTAATGATTTAGTTGAAATAAACTTATTCATTAAATAGTTCAAGTAAGGCACTTCCATAAGCTTTAGGCAGTCCCTTAATTATTAAAAAATGGTTATGTAACACGTTTGTTTGATTGATACATGAGAAAAAAACTGTTCCTTCAACATTCATAAGTTTTACATAATTTTAATAAATATTATAGAACGTCTTACATCATCTTCCATACCGTGTGGTCTAATAATAAAATCTAGTTACATATCTTACATTTGGTTAAAACTTATATCATTAAAGACTTACGTGTTATGTTTGTTTAATTGCTACATATACAATTTTATTCCAAATAAAATTTTATTCCTCCATAAATATATCGTATTTCTTACTCATGAAGACTTATATTGTAAAATTTTTCAATTGCTATTCGGCGGAAGACAAATGGGGGAACGGATCAGGTCAGTAACCTTATAGTGAGTAACCATGAGGTCAGTAACCTCATGGTGAGTAACCCATCCACATCAGCATTACATCAGCATCCCTCTCTCTCCAGGAAAGTCTTAAGTTTACCTTCCTTAATCTTTGGCGGACGATTTCTTACTCGTTTTAAGTTGAAATTTAATTTTTTTGCACAGTTAGATCAGAAATATTGTGCTTTACAAAATGATATCCACTTTGATATATATTTTGAACAAAAAAAAATTAGACATTTTTTACCAGTCTATACCGTATGGTTTTGACTAGTATTGAAATAAGAGCATATCTATGGTTTGAAAAACGTACCAAGGTGGTATGAACGAACCAAGATTGTAGGATGGTTGAATACATGATAGTAGAAGTATATTAACTGTCATTTACGACTTTTAATATTCTGTACCACAAGATAACACCCCGTACCAGGGTGGTATTTTGTGGTATTGTGTGCTATTTTTTTTCTCATGTTACTTGTTAACCCAGAAATTTGTAGATCCAATAGATCATGATGAGCTTGTTCCTTCTGTGCAAACGTTTTCAAAAATGAATTAAAATCGAAGAAGATACCATATGGTATGCAGCTGGTATCGAGAGGCAAGAATTTTTTTCTCAAAAAATATTGAAAATGGAAATCGTTTTGTAGAGCACAATGAACCCGTTCCATCTGTGCAAAAAAAAATTGAAATCCGAGTTAAAACGAAGACGATATGAGCCGATTAAGAAAACAAGAGAAAATAAAAAATGACATTTAATTCTCCATCATTAGATCTGAATTTTCTGATTGAAGGGTCCAGATTTAGTTATTGATGGGTGCATAACCCATGGTTATGCACCCTATCTTGAACCAAAAATGGGAAGGAAAGGGGTTTTCAAAATAGGGAAGAGAAAACAATAAATAGGAAAGGAAAGTGGAACGAGGAAAAATAAAAAAGAATGAATGACAGAGGACGGTGGGGTTGCACGAAAAAAGAGGTTGATATGATCTGGTATCGTAGTTCGTAGATAAACCCATTAATGAAAAGAAATTTGAAATCAATCAACGGCTGTACTTTCTCAGCCCAATGTAGTGAACCCAAATTCACATGAAACCTCCCGAAGCTAATCAGAATATCCCTCCGTGAACAATAGATTCCGATTTTTTCTTAAGGAACAGTAATTTTGATTTTTGGTAATTTTTTTTAACTTGTGGTATAATAATTCTAATACTACTCAGCTATGGATAGAATCATAGAAAATGGACAATATATATTAAATATAGTGATTAATTAAGTCGTTTGCAAGAATTTGTGCGCGGATAGTACAAGTAGACTAGTAGGCGTCATCCCGAAAGAGTTCAGTTGAATATAGTGATTAATTAAGTCGTTTGCACGAATTTAAGGTGAAAATCACCTTTTTTTTGTTGAAAGAGATTACTTGAACCTAATATGAGACATTTCCCACAACCCCATTTCCATAAGCGGGAGTCGCAAATGGCCTGACCAGTGACAGAACCTTTGTCGGAATTGGGGAAACTATGGGTGTAAACGTAATCCCCATGATGTCTGCCAACGTTCTTAGTGTCGCTCACAAAGATATCAAGTAGAGTCTTCATTCTCTTGTTGTATTCCTTATCCTTGGAATGGCCCCTGCAGTCAGGTCCTTTGAGGATCCTCGTATCGGCACTGTCAACGGCCACACTCAAGATGCCCAGAAGCAGAACCGCCACCACCGCTACTCTCGACGCGCAGCCCATTCTGTGCGCGGGCACTCCTCCTCACTGATAATTAATGACCCTCTTTGTTTTTCTCTTTATGTATTGCGAATCGATCGATCGATATTTGTGAAATCAGGGTGAGATATCAATGTAGCCGGGACCTTGCTTTTATACTAGTCGAACTTTAGCTTCGTTCCAAAACCGGCATATGTCGAAGCCTCCATCGCTAAACAACAAACTCCAAAGCATTGTCGGCACCACCATATCTGAGATGAATGCACGAATATAATTGCGGGAGGAGAATTACTTAATTGGGACAAGAAAGCGCATCATATAGAAACTGGCATTGGGAGGGATCGATTACTTTTGGGCATAATATATGGGAACGTTGCCTATTATTATTACTATCATTATCATTATTTATCCCCATTGAATATATGCACGAATATATAGCAAATGATTACTGTTCTTAATTAACAATGACATTACCCCCATTGAATTACGACTAAAGAGTTTGATATGTGATATTTTTTTATAAATAAAGCACAAGTTCAGTTACTGTTGTCCAAACTCACTAGCTGATTAGGCGGTTGCATTTACATTTTTATACCCCAAATTTAATTAAATTACAACTTAGTCATTATAATGTATATTTTATATTTTGATACCCCAAATTTAATTTTAATGTAAATTTATTGAACAATTATGTTTTGGTATCTAAATTTTATGAGCTTTTCATACCTATAATTTTTTTAAGTTTACATATTGGTCCAATATTTAGATTTCACTTGAATCCATGAATACAATCCACCAATCCTTTTGAATCAATCCATGAATCCAATCCACGATAACATAAAAGTATAAATTTAGTTTGTACCACACAAGATGTTGTATTACTCAAGTGTAGGAGAGGATTCGACCATTTTATATTTGCTCATCGTGAAATATTAAATAAATGATAAAAGAGAGACGACTCTAAAATATTACAAGAGCGATTTTATAAACTCATTTAGTACGTTTACGGGGTACTAAACAAACTTCTACTAACTACATGTAACAAAATAGGCAACATCTACACAAACAAGTGTCAACAAATTGTTACGGTGAAAATGGTTGATTGTTCTACTGACAGCCAGCTAAAAGAATTGGTGAAAACCTTTCCATCATCCACTTACATTTCGTTTCATTTTTCACTCGCCTACAATAACCCTTTCCTTATTTCTTTCTTTACCTTCTTCGTCTAACCCTAATTAGCATACGATTTTTATGTATTCTAATCACAAGTATGAACGGGTCCAAAAACGACTTACCAACAGTCTAGAGAATTATTAATTGAACCATGAACAACTCACTTATCAGCTCAATTAAAAAGAAATGTATGCGGTTATTATTTATTAGAAAGTAATCAGTTTCCACTATGAGATTTGAAGGCGTGAAATTTTAAACGACTTCCAGTCTGTATTCATTTTGCTTCTTCATCAAGTTTTTCTTTTTCACCCGAACTAGAATTTTCAACAATTATACATGGAATGTTTGGCTAGGTATCTACATATATAAAATAATAGTTTCCATTTTTCTATAAAAAAGTAAATAATTATCATCTTAAATACACCACCATATAGGAATTAAACCTCAACTATACAAATTACAGTTTGGTACCTAAACTTAATAGATGTTTAGATTTATAACCTAAATTTATTTTTTTGGCACATAAGTCCTCAAAATATTGATGGAACATTACATTTTAGCATCTAAAGTTTTTGTGTATGACATTTTGGTGCCTAAACTTTTGAAGTTCTACAAATATGTCTAATTTTTGTATGTGTAATTGAAACACCCTTGAATAAATGGGTATCCATACCCAATGCATACACATTTAGATTATGAAAGTAAATATCCATACCCTACCCAAACTCATCTACAAACTTTCAAACCCATATATACGTCACCCATACCCTACCCATAATCAATGAGTCTACTTGGGTTTAGGTAAATATCATTTCTTAGCCAAAATTTTCAATTTTTTTTTAAATTGGATGTTGACTGCCATATATCTCTTCTCAGTCAATATCATATTGTCAAGTCAATATTACTAACAAAACTGCTAACAAAAAATTAATTTTAGACTAATAATACTAACAAAATACCATAACGGACCACATACTACATGCCCATAGGCCATCTCTGCCACGCGCAAGGCGCGACATCGCCACCTAGTTAATATATATAAAGCATAAGTGAGTTTACTGTTGCCTAAACTTACTAGCTGATTGGGCGGCTATACATTAAAAAATTTTGATACCCCAAATTTAATTTTATTACAACTTAGTCATTATATTGTACATTTTATATTTTGATACTCCAAATTTAATTTTAATGTAATATCATTGAACAATTATGTCTTGGTATCTAAATTTTATGAGATTTTCGTACCTACAATTTTTTAAAATTTACAAATTGGTCGGATTTTTAGGTTTAACTTAAATCCATAAATTCAAATCACCAATACTTTTGAACCAATCCATGAATCCAATCCACCATAACATAACAGAATAAATTTAGTTTGTACCATACAAGATGTTGTATCACTCAAATGTAGGAGCAGATTCAACCATTTTGTATTCATTTTGCTTCTCTAGAGTTTTTTTTTTTACCCGGGCTAGATTTTCAACAATTATATGTCTGGCTAGGTACCTACACATATCAAATAAATAGTTTTAATTTTTCTATAAAAAGTAAATAATTATCATCTTAAATACATCACCATTAAAGGAATTAAGACTCAACTATGCAAATTATAGTTCGCTACCTAAACTTAATAGATCTTAGATTTATAGCCTAAATGTTTTTATTAGGATTACAAGACCTCAAAAATCAAAATATTGATGGAACAATACATTTTAGTACCTAATTTTTTGTACTACATTTTGGTACCTAAAATTTTGAAGTTCTACAAATAGGTCTAATTTTTGTATGTGTAATTAAAACACCTTCAAATAATTGGGTATCCATACCCAACTCATACACATTTAGATTATGGAAGTAAATATCCATACGATACCCAAACCCATCTATAACTTCCAAACTCATATATATGTCACCCATACCCTACCCATAATCAATGGGTCTACTTGGGTTTAGGTAAATATCATTTATTAGCCTAGAATTTCAAAATATTTGAAATTGGATGTTGACTGTCATATATATTTTCTCATTCAATATCATATTGTCAAGTCAATAATATTAACAAAACTGCTAACAAAAAATTAATTTTAGGTTAATAATACTAACAAAACATCATAACGGGGCCACATAATACATGCCGATAGGCCATCTCCGCTCGCGACAAAGCGCGGCATCGCCACCTAGTTCTTATATATAAAGCTAGAGTAGTTTTACTGTTTGCCAAAACAAATTACAAATTAGTCCCTATAACATTTTACATTTTAATATCCCAAATTTAATTTTAATAGTTGGAGTAGTTTTACTGTTGCTAAAACAAATTACAAATTAGTCCCTATAACATTTTACATTTTATATCCCAAATTTAATTTTAATAGCTGGAGTAGTTTGTACCACACAAGATGTTGTATTACTCAAGTGTAGGAGAGGATTTGACCATTTTATATTTGCTCATCGTGAAATATTAAATAAATGATAAAAGAGAGACGACTCTAAAATATTACAAGAGCGATTTTATAAACTCATTTAGTACGTTTACGGGGTACTAAACAAACTTCTACTAACTACATGTAACAAAATAGGCGACATCTACATAAACAAGTGTCAACAAATTGCTACAGTGAAAATGGTTGACTGTTGTATTGACGGCCAGCTAAAAGAATTGGTGAAAACCTTTCCATCATCTACTTACATTTGGTTTTATTTTTCACTCGCCTGCAATAACCCTTTCTTTATTTCTTTCTTTACCTTCTTCGTCTAACCCTAATTAGTATACGATTTTTATGTATTCTAATCACAAGTATGAACGGGTCCATACACGACTTACCAACAGTTTAAAGAATTAATAATTGAATCGTGAACAACTCACTTATCAGCTCAATTAAATAGAAATGCATGTGGTTATTATTTATTAGAAAGTAATCAATTTCCACTATGAGATTTGAAGGCGTGAAATTTTAAACGAGTTCCAGTCTGTATTCATTTTGCTTCTTCATCGAGTTTTTATTTTTTACCCGAACTAGAATTTTCAACAATTATACATGGAATGTTTGGCTATGTATCTTGACTCACTTCTACTGTCACTCTAGGAATTGGCCAAGTGAAACCACTTCCTAAAGTGTAGTATAGCGGGTTTGGGATTAAATGTCAACCCGGGTCCTAGATTTGATGACTACTCGGTGAATTCTTGTTATCTAGCAATGAAACTTTAGTGCAAGTCTAAACTAACAAAAAAAAAGCAACTAAATGGTTGTATTCAGGTTAAGAGAGGTCACCCGGATATGGTTCCCCCTAGACTGCAGTTAAGCCGGATTGCAATTACCAAGTTCAGTTTCTACGATAGTTATACTGCGGAAGGTTTTTAAACAGCCTGAAGTCTCGACTAAAGGTCTTCAGACCCTCTCAATCTGAGTCTCTAGCGGGCGACTAACCTCCACCGGAGTAAACAGATTGAGGCCCTGACGAACAAAACCTCCACTACCGAAGTAAATTCGGTACAGAATAGTGAGTTGGCTCCTCGACTAAAGTCACCAACTCCCTACCTTCAATCAAGGATGCCCTATCAACCTAGGTAGATATTCTCATTGTAGGTTAAAGCAGAAACAACAGGAATTTGATCAGGATTCATGCCATTCAATCATTCAAACCTCAATTGAATATAATCAAATCATAGAATCAGTACTTGGGTTCATACAATCAAACCTAATATACAAATCTAGAGTTTCCCATACCCAGATGAATGGGAGAACTACTCCATGGAGAAAGAAGCAAAAGCAGAATCAGACGCGGAATTCATACTGTGAAGGATGGATTCCTGCTCCTGGACGTTGATCGGCACTTCTCCAAGCTCAAGCTAAGCTCCAATGGTGATGAAGATCAAGCTAGGGCACTTGGGAACTCTTGTTCGTCGCTTTCTCTCTCTAGGAATCGCTCTGTCTCTCTAAAACTCGAATCCCCTTC